CCATAGACTCAGCACTGCCCATAGACTCAGCACTGCCCAGAGACTCAACACTGCCCAGAGACTCAACACTGCCCAGAGACTCAACACTGCCCAGAGACTCAACACTGCCCAGAGACTCAGCACTGCCCAGAGACTCAACACTGCCCATAGACTCAGCACTGCCCAGAGACTCAAAACTGCCCAGAGACTCAACACTGCCCAGAGACTCAACACTGCCCAGAGACTCAACACTACCCATAGACTCAGTACTGCCCATAGACTCAGCACTGCCCATAGACTCAGCACTGCCCAGAGACTCAACACTGCCCAGAGACTCAACACTGCCCAGAGACTCAACACTGCCCAGAGACTCAACACTGCCCAGAGACTCAGCACTGCCCAGAGACTCAACACTGCCCATAGACTCAGCACTGCCCAGAGACTCAAAACTGCCCAGAGACTCAGCACTGCCCAGAGACTCAACACTACCCAGAGACTCAACACTGCCCAGAGACTCAGCACTGCCCAGAGACTCAACACTGCCCAGAGACTCAACACTGCCCAGAGACTCAGCACTGCCCAGAGACTCAACACTACCCAGAGACTCAACACTGCCCAGAGACTCAGCACTGCCCATAGACTCAACACTGCCCATAGACTCAGCACTGCCCATAGACTCAACACTACCCAGAGATTCAACACTGCCCAGAGACTCAACACTGCCCAGAGACTCAACACTGCCCAGAGATTCAACACTGCCCAGAGACTCAACACTGCCCAGAGACTCAACACTGCCCAGAGATTCAACACTGCCCAGAGACTCAACACTACCCATAGACTCAACACTTCCCCTCTACATGAAGCAGTCCGCCCTCCTTAACCTCCTTCCATTCCTCTCTTAACGTATCTCCTTTTCTCTCTTGCCCATTCTCTTCCCTCCTCTCGCCCCTCCACTTCTTCCCGTCCCTCCCCTGCCCTTGAGTGACCCCCTCTATCAGGGCCACTCGTTCCTCAGCTCTTGCCGTCTGAACCCTTCTATTTTGACAGCCGTGTGTTTGTTAAGCTATGTAAAGCACTTTGTGTAAAGGTGCTCTATAAATTGAAATTAAGGTAAGTCAGCAGCCATGTGACCCTTCAGAACCAGCATATTCAATGGTTTCCAACCTGACCCTTGAGAAGGGATGATAAACACCATTCTGATTTGCTCTTCTGTGGGCAAAACTACCACGGGGAGGCTTTTTAAATGATGCCAGGCCTGTTCCGAGCCAGTCCGTTGAATTTAAACAAGTCCTGATTATTTTGTGCGACTAACTTATAAAAGAGCATTTGGGTGCAGTGCGTCATTACCCATTATGCAGGCGATAGGCAAGGCTTGTGGTGTGTTAAGTGTATTGTACGACGGTAGAATGCCTCGTCTGTGAGCAATGCCTGTTATCCGTGGGAGCTGTAAGGTCTGCAAAATATTCTATTATGCCCGCTACTGTGCTTCCCGCCATCTGCAAATTGTCCACATGTTTCCTGTCCTGCTTTTCTGAAAGGCTTTTCTGTGAACCGCACTTCTCTCCACGGATGAGTGGAGATCATCGGCCAATTCGTCCGATTATCCGCAATAAAACTTTGTGGATAAGCAAAGTATACATATACCCAAAGAACTTCACAACTAATGAAGTCAGCAATTGTTTTGTACACCGACATCATTGGAGTTCCAGCCGTAGTTGTGTTGGTAGCAGGTGGCTGCAGGTTGAGAAGGCCACAAACGCTGCCTTTCTTATCCTAGTCTCGGGGCGAAGCCTGAAACTGGCTGAACTAAACACACGAAATGGAAAGCAATGGCATTGCCTTAATTGGTGCTTTTTTTTTTCTCACACCAAATGTGTAGGCGCAGGGAGCCTATGCAGCTTCCCAGCAGAACCGGTCCTCTGAGTGACAAGCACCCCCAATGAATTATCACGGTTATCCGTCGTAAATATCACGGGCCGGGTTTTGGGAAAATAAAAATAAACGAATCTATGAAAAGGTCACGGAATGAAAGTGGGCCATTGCCTCGCCCAGAAACAAAATACATGTTAAAATCACCATTGTAAGCAAAACAAAATCCAAACCGGCTAATTTAAGTCGTATACATTTTGTGGCATTTCGAATCAACTTTGTGGTGTTTTCAGCAGAAAATCTATGGAATTAAAAAAGAAACAAGTAAAATTAACACCTAATCGAATGTCTTTCCATTGTCATTTCCAACATTTTAAGCCCGTTATTAAAGTTCATAATATCTGTGACCTCCGTGACCTCTGTAAACCGCCGTGACCCAACTCATAGCCTTGGTTTTCGTACGCTGCTTTGGTGTCCCAATCAGTAATCAATCCACCTGCATGCATCATCTGAGACTAGAAAAACCCGAGTCTGAGTTTGCAGCTTCCCTTGACTTGGCCTCTTGACTTGGGCTGAGCTGCGCGACATGTAGTGCTGTGAGCTTGTGCTGAATTCTATACCCAGGCCAGATGTTACGGGATGTTTGTCGTCAAACTTTCTATGCCAAAAATAGATTTTTTTTTTGCCTTTGACAGTGACTTAAAAATACCCCCACATAAATGAGAGCATTTCTATGCATGATCTGTTTGTGAATTTACTTGTGATTTTTAGGAGGAAAATTACGACCCAAATTCACGTCACAATGTCTCAGAAATCAAATCAGAATATTTAATTATACTGGAGAAATCCGATGAGCTATAGCGCTCTTTTTCACAGATGTCCACTGGGTCGTCCTCTTCTCCATTGGTAGCCCTGAGTCAGTCATAGAAATTTCACATTCATATTGCAGGGCCATAGGACAATCAGTGTTTAGGAAAGTATGACTTGATCTTATATTAGCATTTCCTCTGCAGTGTAACACATTATTGGGAATATCTTTAGTATATCATTAGATGTACAAATGTTTTGGGAATGAGAAATGTAAAAAAGAATAGCAACCTAATGTTAGGCCTGCTCATATCAATTTATATGGACTAAATAATCATTAGAAATGTCAGCCTATGCCAATCCACTGCTGGATGACTGCCTCCCAAACCATGTTAGGCATGGGTGATGTTTAACCATACTTCACCTGCTGGTCAGTGCACATTGGTTGAAGGGAGAGCCGTGTATCGGTTTATATATCACTCGCCACTGAGGGCACCCAGTGCGCTAACCGTTGTACCACCGCTCCAGCCCTACGGATCAATTCAATACAGTACAGATAGTATAGAGCAAGAACGTAAAGTCGTGGACGAAGTGCATCGATGCTCAGGGTCACAGTGTTTACGAGCATAAAACAAGTTGGTGAGTTAACCTGTGCAAACGTTTCATTCTCAACATCTTCTTCTCAAATCGGTCTGATCATCTCAAGTTCAGAATCCTGTAAATGGTATGCGCATCGAGTAGGTTTCATGGGTAAGGTGAGACTGCAAGAGATGGGACAAGAACGGTTGGCGACTAAAAAAGTCGCAATGTAGCAGGGACAACTGCGAATCCTTCCTCATGAGTAAGACATTCTTTAATTTGTTTCAATTGCCCAAGAGGAGTAACATGGGAAACCAAAGCAGAGCAAATACATTCATGGGAATTTGGGCGTGGTTTTGTGCGATTAAATTATTATAAAAATATAATGGGAGACAGTTTTTTTTAATTTTTTTCTTGAAACTATTGTCACGAATGCTTTAAATACTGTATACTGCATTGAGTGTCCACTACAATACTGCAGAACCAATTTCCCAGAATGAACACGCCAAGAAAACATCTTCATGTTCAAGATTAAAGAGTGATCTTGTTTTTATGTCATGAGTTTCAAACAACACGCAGCAATATGTAAAAAGCACACCGCCTCTGTGCATTATGCAAAATCCATCAGCCATTCCTGAACAAGTGCATTGTGGTCTCATCTTGCCTTTGGTCAACAACAATTACATTTGAGCGAATGTGACCGACCTACTGACTCATCTGCTGACATTTGTTTCTATGGTCACCTCACCCAAGCGAGGACCACAATGCACTGTTTCGAGAATACGCCGAAGGCTTTTGTATAATGCACAGAGGCGGTGTGGTTTTTGCAATTTTGTTTTGCGTGTTGTTTGAAACTCGTGTTTTTTTTCCCCCCCGCAGCCTGCACCTATTATTCCGTGACGATGTTTTTTTTTCCTCTCGTAATTTTGACAGATTTTATTCCCTTCCGCAACAACCCGGTGTGGCATTGCCATTGTATACAGATCACACAGGACACTAAACCAATCCGCATTTTACATTCATATAGACATTGATTTGTTACTTCATCACGTTTCATATAGCGTCACCAAACACTCACGCTATAGTCATGTTTAATGGCGCGAGACTTGTAGCAAACAAATACTGTACTCTCTTCAAACTGGTACTAACAAGGACCAACGAATTCCAACACGGCTGTTTTTAATTAGCTTCAACAACTTAATTTGTATCGACAGACTCCCCAAGATTACATCTGGGAGTGCGTGACATCTTTTTTTTTTCCCCCCCCCCCACGGAGCCGATAATAGTCGAACATAATTAGTGTGAAAAGCCCCCCCGAGGTTTCCCTTGTGCACGTTCACACCAAGACATTTCATTTAACGCAATATTTATTCACTTTTCTTGGCATCCGTCATGGAGCAGCTCGTGCAGCATTGCCACGCGCACGAAGCAAAAAGCAAAACGCAGTTTTTCTCTGACCTCCCAACCACCCCCAGCAGCAGTCTTCCGCTGCTTTCCCACCAACCCCCCTCCCCCCCCCCCCCCCCCCCAACGTTTAGTTTCCACCGTGCCCCCCACCGCGGCCACTTTACGACGGGGTCTTTTTTGACAGCTTCACGCCGGGCGAACGTTCTTGCCATCCCCGTGCCGCTCGTCGTCCAAGAGATTCCCTCCATCCGTGGTATTGCAGCGGCGTGCGAAGAAGCGGGCTGGTTGGTGCCAGGGGTTGGTGGGGGTGGTGGAGGAGCACCCACAGGAAGGGATTGCCCTGACGCGTTGTAACTTCGTTGTTGTCCTTGTCGTCGCTTAAAAAATCTCTCTGCGAACATTTCCGACGCGATTCTTCAACGCGGTGGCACAACCCCTTTCAGGCGACTCCGGCGCCACTCAATGCACGACAGCGAGAAACAAAAAAATAATTCAACCCACTTTGATTATAATCAACCCCAGGCGTACAATAATGCTGGATAAGAGGTCTGTCGTTTTGGTAGAATCCTTAAAATGTTATTCAGCATTGTTCAATCGTTACTGTCTGGAGGCTTGGCTCAAAGCCCCGTGTCTAGGTAGGCTTGTTGAGCAATAGACGCATTGATAAATCCTCTGTGTTGATCGTCATCCTTTCAATATAAAACACACACACAGGTACGTGTCCATAATCCAGTTTTTTATGAAGACGTTTATCCTTTGATGCCATCGCTGGACATCCTGGTGCATCTTCTGATATGCTGTTCATATGCCGGCCACTTGTTTTGCCATCGCTTATTGGACAATTAGCCGCTTTTCTGTTGAATACTCTAATGAGCACTCGATACGCATAAGTTCTTGTGTATTGCCTTTTATTTTTTTCATTTTTATCGTATTTTATTACCAGAAAGTAAAGTATATGATAATTGTAATTAAAATTTTAAACAGTATATAGCCACGGTTTCCATCAACCCCGGCCATGCATAGACACTCAAAATGAAAACAAATGAATGGGAAAAACTAAACAAAATCCCACACAATTATCACCCCTGTGAAACAGCTTGTCCGAAACTTCATCTCAACAACTTCACTGGGGTAAATCTTCGGCGCTCGATTCAACTAAAGGTGACACTTCACGGAGAGTTTCAAGTCGGTTGAACTCTGACGGGGCGAAGGCTTCCATCAAATACGTTTGGGTTGAGCAGCACGAAGGCTGGGGCTGGTCAAGGGGTCTGGGCAGCAGAGGTCTGGGCATCAGGGGGGGCTCTGGACTCGGGCTGCTTTCCGCTATTTTAAAGGCAAGCGTTGTGCGCTCAGCGCGTCGGCACCAGAGTCTGAACCGGGCCCGCCGACAGCAGCGCGACGAGCAGCAGCAGCAGCAGCAGCGACGACGACGACGCGGCGAGGAGCGGCAGGGCCGGAGCGCGGAGGCGCTGGCCAGCCGAGCTCGAGCCGCAGCTGTTGGGCGAAGTACAGCGGGACTTTTCGCACAGCACGCCCTCGTAGCCGGAGACGCACGCGCAGCGCTGCCGCTGGACGCACGTGCCGCCGTTTTCGCAGCGCAGGAACTCGTCGCACACGATGGCTTTTCCGAGTTGAATCGTTGCGGGGTTCAGCAAAGTGCGTGCGTGTGTGTGCGTGTGTGTGTTTTTTTGCAGTGTTACGTGATGGTGGTGGCGGTGGTGGCGGCGGTGGTCGTGTGTGTGTGTGTGTTTTTTTTTGCGGTGTTACGTGATGGTGATGGCGGTGGTGGCGGCGGTGGTGGTGTGTGTGTTTTTTTGCGGTGTTACGTGATGGTGATGGCGGTGGTGGCAGCGGTGGTGGTGTGTGTGTGTTTTTTTTTGCGGTGTTACGTGATGGTGGTGGCGGTCGCGTGTGCGTGCGTGTGTGTTTGTGTTTTACCAGATTTCGAAGGCGGTGGTTATGTTTTGGAAGGAAGGGAGGTTGAAAAGGATACACACAAATGGCAGGGTTAGAAAAATGACTCGAACGCATTAAATAAAAAACGTGAGTTACTTTTTTCCTGCTGCTGCTGCTGCATTGTTACTTCGTGGCAATAATTGCCGTGCGTTGTTACATAAATGTGCTTGGGTTTTTTTCATCTTTCATATCTTTTCTTCACATGACGTTTCAATTAATTCACTTTTGAATCCACTTATAATTTTGGAAATGTACATTTTAAGGACCTTAACTGGAAGCAAGGAATACGCAATTGAAATTGGGACGGTGGTAGCCGCTCACTTGGTCCGTTTTTCCCCAATAACATCACAGGAATGTTAACCACCACTTGATAAGCTTATATATATATTTTTTGCACAATACACCCCGCGTTATTAAAACCGGGGGCGGCCGCTTAGAATCCTCTCCAACAATTCACTCGGTCGGCCACGTCACCCCCCCCCCCCACACCTCCAATTTACCTCTGCGGATAATCCGAGAGTCGGCTGTAACGATCAAAAGGACAACGACGAGTTAAGGACTCACGGTGGCAGCCCCTGTTCCAGTGGAAGCCCGGCTGGCATTCGTCGCACTTGAGACCTGACGTTCCCTCTTTGCACTCGCACTTCCCCGAGTCGTTGCAGCGGTCGTGCATGGCTCCAAAGTTGTTGCACTCGCATTCTGCGGGATGCGGAGAATCAACGAGCGTCCGGGAGTCCCAACGCCGCCTGTCGCCTCGGCTAAAAAAAGTAACAGGCGCGAGGAACCCTGCGATGTTTTGCTGAAGCCACCGTTGGCCGAAGGGCCTTCACTAGCGGTGGGAGCTCTCGATAGAGCCCCCCCCCCAAAGAGGGTATTTGGTCAATGTTGCAATTGCCATTCTGGTAGATCGAACCGGCGACCTCTGAATGTGAGATCTTGTAAGCTAGGCAGATTGATCCTGGTTTGTACTTGGATAGCACCTAGGTTTTCAAAATATTGTAGACGTCATGTTGCAAAGGGCTGATGGTTACCCCCCCCCACCCCTCCACCATGCGTGCGTTTGCTCCGGGTTCTCTGGTTTCCTCCTGCATGAAGCCAAACTCTCATTAACGACAAAGGCCAAAACATCACTCTCTCTTTGTAGCAGGATCCTCCTGAAAAAGAGTCTTGAGACTCAACGAGGCTTGCCTGGGTAAAATAATTGGCATTATTATCATCAAATACAAAAGTCAAGTGTTTATGTTTAATGCTTTATGGTGTTGCCTTCATATCCGCATCTCCCCTTTGCTTTTGGCTCCTGCTTTTGCCCTTTGATCCTCTCTAGCTGCTCTTCATCCGGCAGCACTCAACTTCCCCTACCCCCCTCTCCTCCCTGGCCCCTCCCCCCTCCCTCTCTTACCTATATTACCTCGTACGACGAGAGTCCTTCTACCCACTTCAGCAGTTGTTTCGTGCTGTGGTTGTCCCACCTGATGACGGACGTTTGTGTTGCGCCCGAAACGTCGTGGTTTAATTTATTTTATACCTACCACGTGACTTTGCCGAAAGAACCAAGGAGTACGAGTTTAATGGGTTTGTGTTGAGTAAATTCCACGGTCGAGACAATCTAACAGTATGCCGACTACTTTTGTGATGAAGAAATACACTGTTAAATTAAAAACTACTTTATAACTGCTTTTTGTATTTAGTTTGTTGTCATTCCACCGCACGATTGGCTACGCATGGTGCGAAAGAAGTTCAACATACATACTGTACTGCGTGTATAGAAAAGAGTGATTAAAACAACACAAACGATACTGTTGGATGATTACAGACCTCAGCGCTGATGAAAAAACATTGAACTTGATGTGTGCAACCAATACAATTAATGCTACTTGATGAATGACGGTGGTGTCGGCGATTGTTGCGATCGATGATTTGTTTACTTGACGGTTGTGGTGGTTGTGGTGGTGGTGGTGGTGGGAAGCGGTGGTTTTGGCGTTTGGCAGCGATTGTGGTGTTGATGGGAGGCACACGTTATCTTTGGTGTCACTTAATCTGAACGTTAACTTTGAACGCGTGACGTCAGTTGCACTTGAATCAGAAATTTTGTCGGGTGAGCTGAAATGGGATAGGAGAAACCTGCAGAAATATATACAGGATATCTTAGAGATAAAAATCAATTATCCTGACCTTCCGGGGAAACATGACGCTTCTTACGGTCAGCAGCAACGCGCGGATGTGAAGCCATTTGAGTCTACGCTTAAAAAGTTTTGCTATTTAAACAAAAAAACCGTGTCGTATTCATATTTTGTGTCTGCTTTATAATTATACCTTCAAATTATCAGTGTAACTGGAATTAGTAACTTAAAATTAACGTGTGTACGATGCGTGAACGTCTCCTGCGCAATTCAGTAATTTGTTACATTTCGTCAGGCTGATTAAAAGTTCACAACGAAATATATCTTCCTCCGTGTTATGACAACATGACCTTATTTAATTAACTTCATATTTAATATTTTTTGGATAATATAATTGGTGTGAAGTTTATATCGTAGTTTCCAATGAACACGCACATGTCACGTGGAAAGTAATGTAGTTTTTGTATAATCAATGTTGTGCAATTCCTGAGGTTAAAATAGAAATTTGTTTCAGCCATTGTCTCCACATTAAAATGCGCATAGGGCAGACCCTGCTTGTCCCTATGCCGAGGACTGTTCCCATACAGGTCAATTGTTAACTTTTATTTTTACCAGGTAAGGCCCACTGAGCTAAATAGCTCTTTTTCAGAAGCGACTGGGCTATCACAATTGATAGCTCAACAAAGTGACTTATCATCATGAGGAAATTTATAACAGTCAAATATTCTAAACGCACGTTGATTCTAAACGCGGAGGGGAAAAACGGATTATGTGGAGAAAAATCCACGTGACTATGGGGAAAGAGAACACGCAAACTCCAAATATATTGGGGTCAAGGTTGGAATCGAACTAACGACCTCCTGCATACACGGCAAGGTACAGTAAGGGAAAAAAGTATTTGATCCCCTGCTGATTTTGTACGTTTGCCCACTGACAAAGAAATGATCAGTCTATAATTTTAATGGTAGGTTTATTTGAACAGTGAGAGACAGAATAACAACAACAAAATCCAGAAAAACGCATGTCAAAAATGTTATAAATTGATTTGTATTTGACCCCCTCTCAATCATAAAGATTTCTGGCTCCCAGGTGTCTTTTATACAGGTAACGAGCTGAGATTAGGAGCACACTCTTAAAGGGAGTGCTCCTAATCTCAGCTTGCTACCTGTATAAGAGACACCTGTCCACAGAAGCAATCAATCAAATTCCAAACTCTCCACCATGGCAAAGACCAAAGAGCTCTCCAAGGATGTCAGGGACAAGATTGTAGACCTACACAAGGCTGGAATGGGCAACATGACCATTGTCAAGCAGCTTGGTGAGAAGGTGACAACAGTTGGTGCGATTATTCACAAATGGAAGAAACACAAAAGAACTGTCAATCTCTCTCGGCCCGGGGCTCCATGCAAGATCTCACCTCGTGGAGTTGCAATGATTATGAGAACGGTGAGGAATCAGCCCAGAACTACACGGGAGGATCTTGACAATGATCTCAAAGCAGCTGAGACCATAGTCACCAAGAAAACAATTGGTAACACACTACGCCATGAAGGACTGAAATTCTGCAGCGCCCGCAAGGTCCCCCTGCTCAAGAAAGCACATATACATGCCCGTCTGAAGTTTGCCAATGAACATCTGAATGGTTCAGAGGACAACTGGGTGAAAGTGTTGTGGTCAGATGAGACCAAAATGGAGCTCTTTGGCATCAACTCAACTCGCCGTGTTTGGAGGAGGAATGCTGCCTATGACCCCAAGAACACCATCCCCACCGTCAAACATGGAGGTGGAAACATTATGCTTTGGGGGTGTTTTTCTGCTAAGGGGACAGGACAACTTCACCGCATCAAAGGGACGATGGACGGGGCCATGTACCGTCAAATCTTGGGTGAGAACCTCCTTCCCTCAGCCAGGGCATTGAAAATGGGTCGTGGATGGTATTCCAGCATGACAATGACCCAAAACACACAGCCAAGGCAACAACGGAGTGGCTCAAGAAGAAGCACATTAAGGTTCTGGAGTGGCCTAGCCAGTCTCCAGACCTTAATCCCATAGAAAATCTTTGGCGGGAGCTGAAGGTTTGAGTTGCCAAACGTCAGCCTCGAAACCTAAATGACTTGGAGAAGACCTGCAAAGAGGAGTGGGACAAAATCCCTCCTGAGATGTGTGCAAACCTGGTGGCCAACTACAAGAAACGTCTGACCTCTGTGATTGCCAACAAGGGTTTTGCCACTAAGTACTAAGTCATGTTTTGCAGAGCAGTCAAATACTTTTTTCCCTCATTAAAATGCAAATCAATTCATAACATTTTTGACATGCGTTTTTCTGGATTTTTTGTTGTTATTCTGTCTCTCGCTGTTCAAATAAACCTACCATCAAAATTACAGACTGATAATTTCTTTGTCAGTGGGCAAACGTACCAAATCAGCAGGGGATCAAATACTTAAAGTAGTGGGCACCTTTCGTCATAACACTGCTTAGAAATAAATCTGGCTAAACATCCCAATTATGAGACATTGTGAATGGGCGTTTAATCACTGATGTTTTATTGAACACGTGAAGAGCAACGCTGCTGCAGCGTGGCAGTGACTGGCTCTGTGCACTTTAAAATCAAAAAGAGAAAACCAAATGGCACCTCAAGCAACGGTCATCGTCTCAAAGGAAGGGGCCGGGGGGGGGGGAGCGATCATCGCTTTAGGACGATCCCGTACGACCCGGCACTCAAACCCGAGAGTCACAGAGCCAGACTTGGGAACGTTTTGGATTCCTGGGGTTCATTTTCGCTGCCCGAGACACTAAGAGCCAGACTAGTTTAGCGCATTTAATAAGTCAGTGCATGTGGTATGAGTGCCATTATTGCGGCGCAGGTCGCCATGTTTCACAGACGAAGTCTATTGTAGATTTCCAGGACCGGGCGGTCTTGCGGTGTGTGATCCCAATTGACTAATTTGCCACCTGGCACATAACGGCCTACTGCCAAGCAGCCGGTGCATATTCTTTCATGCTTAATACAGTACACCGACATTAATAGCTAGGGCGGCCAGCAGGATTCGAACCACGAACCTCCGCAGCAAGTGGCGAACACTGCTACCACCAGGCCACGTCGCCCGCCCCCCCCCCCCCCCCCCACAGCCAAAACAAAGCGTGAATTAAAACAAAGCAACGTGTCCATTTTCTGACTAGGCATCTGTGAAAAAGAGCTTCATAGCTCATCGGATTCCTCCAGTATCCAGAAATATTCCGATTGTGATTCTGACGACCAACCCCCCTTTTTTTTCTTCCCCCCCCCACGCCCCCCCCCCTCAACGTTTCAACGCGAGCGACCGAGCGGAGCGGAGCAGAGCGGAGCGGCCGGCCTACTCACTGATGCACATGTTGGGATTGTCCAACTCCACGGAGAAGTTGCGGTAGAAGCCCGGACGACATAGCTGGCAGTGCTGGCCCCGCGTGTTGTCCTTACAGCTCACGCACGTCACTATGTTCAGCACGTCGATGTAACTGCAGCGGTTTGAATGGCCATTGCAGCTACATTCTGGGGGGGGGGTGGGGGTGGAGAGGCCAAGCGAGACGTTAGTCGAGCAAACACTCGAGTGACAGTTATGTTTCCTTTTTGCATGTAATGGTGTTTTTTTTTGCACGTGAAAGTTACGTTGCATTCTGAACAAATGTTGCATTTAAATCGCGTCGCAAAAACTCTTAAGGTGCAATTCGGTACTGTGCGATCATCGCATTGATCCGTTTAGGTGTGTGCAACGTGTTCAGTGTTTGTAATTGTGTATCTTTATGCAATATGGTGCAAATATAAATGTTTATAATATTTTTGGAATGTTATGTAAGTGTAGGACTACACAGGACGTGTACTTCTATTTAGTGTTATTTTAAGAGCGTCTACATCATGAATATTTTTGTATATGCGTTTATTTAGTTCTCAAATAGGAAAATGTTTTCCTAAACGATCAGAAATGCCAGTGGATATTTTAAGTATTAATCTGTTTTCTCTATGAGTCATCGACACCATAATCCCATGTGCAGCATTTCATTCAGTGTATTAGAATAATCTGTAACAGCAGGTGCAGCTGGGACAGCAGTTCAGAAATGTAAAATCATTATGGTGAAAATAAATTACTGTTAAGAGTATTCAAAAAAACTTTTACAGTGTGTAAATTGATCACTCTGTCAATAAAACTATGCGCTAAAGAGAATTGTACATATCTACTGCAATTCGAAATCGTGGTTCTGTTTTAAAAACCGATTATTTAACAGTTTTCACATTTCCAGCAGAGTTTTTTTTTACATACTCGAGTGGAATTTTCAACGATAAATATGAACACGATGCATGCATATGGCATGTACATCAAAATACAATCTCACTGCACGCTTGGCAGCTTTAGACCATGTAATGAAAGAGAAAGCATTTGCGCAAAGATGACATAAAACGGTATAGTGTTTTCAAATTTTAACAGATTACAGTAGATTCGGAAGATAGCCCGGTGGGTTGTGGTGATTTGTAGGTGAGCTAAGACTTGCCGTGCACGCTGTTGCAAATATGAGGCAATGGACAAATGAAAATGGCCACCGTGTCTGGACAGGACAGTTGTTCGTGAAATTATCACAGCTTGGAATGTTATTGTGCGGTGAGACGGAAGTCAAAGTGACCACCCAGTTGGCATATCGGGTTGCCCACATGTCCTGGTTTTCCCAGGATCACCCCTTCTGTTGAGCTGGCTGCTGCCCTGGGAAATCTATAAGTCTTTCCAGAACATCAAAGGTCCAGTTTTTTTTTTATCAGTCATGAAATCATACACCGCTCAAGACAAATGCAATCACATGTAGTGCTCATCCTCTTTTAATATTGCGAGATATTCCCCTTCCCATGATATTTCCACGTTTTTTTTGTTGTACCTCAGACGTGGTCATTCTAGTATTTAAGTGTGGAATGGCGTTGGCCCTTGTGCAAGAATTGAAATGGACCATCCCCCCACCCCCGCCCTGTCTAATGTGGGCCTTTTGGGCCTCTCCGGCTCGTGGGCCCTACAGCGGTTGCGCCACGCCACTATGACCACTCCCGTCGCCGTGTTGAAATGGGCATGGAGTGGTTGCTCATTTCCCTTGGCGGTCGTAAGTGAGCATTGGAAAAATTCCACATTACTATTGCCAGGACAAATATCTGCAAAGGACAACCACTGTTGATGTCGGACACATTGATGGTTCCTTGCACCATGTGACTGGGGGGCGGGGGCTTTAAGAAAAATAAATAAATGTGTGTCCTATTCACTACAGAGCCAAATCACCCTGGATGCATCCAATCTTCAATGCTCAGAAAGAATGAGCCGTGTTCGAACTGGGATGAGAGATTGTCTTGGAATACCAGGGCATTGGAGGTTTGGGATACAGTGTATCGAATCCAGCTGTGTGGAACTTAAAATGTTAACCATGGACATGCATGGGTTTATCCGGGTGCTCCAACATGCTAAACACGCCAATGCAAGACCATCCTGAAAATGAGTCTCGGGATTTTACGAACACAAATAAATTGCATTGCTATCCTAGATCGAGACTAGAAATGCAATGTAGCCTCTGTGGAGCTGTGGTTCTGCTTGAGAGGTTGCTCTTCTTTTTTGTACTTTGCAGATCAACTGTAAAAAAAAATTCAACTGATCTCCAGGCATGCAGCGTTTGATGTTTGCAATTCATAACGGACACTTCATCACTCCAAACATCTCCGCGCTTTTGTAACGTATGGAATTGTAGGCCAAATTTAAGAGTTCCAGTCATACATTTGCCTTGTGTTGTTGTGTTGCTCACTGTATTCCCGGCTTGGTAGTTGGTGCACACGCATGGGCCACTTGTCAATGCAGTGAACTCAAAAGTCCCATTCGTGACAATTGCACCGTTGAAATCGTTCTCTTGCATTTTTTTGTGCCTTTTGCTCTGGATGTGCCCCAGCTTAATTTTTTTGAGAACTTTACACAAAGATGGTGCCGTTTAAAATCAGATAAAGTGAATTAACGGGAGCGTGCTCTTCAACATTTCTGCCCGACTCGAACTCTCCGCGAATCGGGCTGCTGTGTCTTTACGGAAGTTTGTCTTCTGAGAGCTTTACAAGAAAGAAAATCAATCATCACCCTATAAGGGCGATCATTGAAAATCCCACGAGAGATTAGAATCTAGCTCAGAATAACAATTATTCTTGCGCTTTACATGCACAGGCACATGCATGAAAAGCCAAGACAAATGAGAGCACTATTGATTAAAAGAAAAAGGAGAGAAGGAGAGACGAACAAAAATTACTTGAACGATGATGGCGAAACGTTCTCGCACAATGACCGTCAAATGGGGATGTGTTCGGAGGAAATGGTATAGGTACAGTACTTACAAATGACAATGATTGGGACACGGAGGAGATGGCAGGCACTGGGGGAAATGACTGGATGGTGACGTCCAGGGAAAACGGGAGGGCAGTCTTGACCCTACCTGGATTGGTGTCTAGTTCCTCCAGAGAGGAAGAGATGCTCGGCAAAAAGGCATCGGCCTTTGAGGCGGCTGAAAACCCAAAGCAGAATAAGACACGACACACAGATTAACCCCTTTTTTTCAGGCCGCATTTATCTCTGCCGCCTCAGAAGAAGAAGAAAAATCTTTATATATAACTTGTAGCTTAAAAAATGCCACGGTATCTCCATGCTCAAACAAGCAGCGGGATGACGCTCAACCTTTTTGGCAGCTGTGAGCAAAGTGGAGAAAAAAAAACTGCACATTCCTATGGCAGGGATCTGCCTCAATGTAACAGCCGCTGTTGACTTCCCGTAGAGTAGCACTTTAGTTTTGTTGACCCTAGAGGGACGATGGTCCGGGTCCACCACCCGACTGGAAATTGAACTCGTGACCTTTCCACTGCGAGTCGATGAGCATCATGACGGCACCACTCGTCTTTGATGTATATACGTCGCAGTGTCGCAGTGGTGAACCAACAATTGTCTGAAGTCACTCGGATTACATGCCATCGCTGCTTATTCTCAAAATGGTCTTCAAATAAACGTAAACGTCACTGCAGGCCAGGAATGTAATATAAAATACAACAAAAAATTGCTTTGTCATGTCTTGATAAACAATCTATTTCTAATTTAACAAATTTTCCCTCCGGTAAAAAAAAAAGATCATGTGCATGCCTCCCAATGATTATGCCTGCAGACAACAGATGTATGCAAAGGTTTAAGCAGACAGCCTTGCCAAGGTACATTAAAGAGACCAATTGAATTCTAAAAAACAATCAAAGCCTTCCCCACATGCAAAATTCATACGGCATTAAGGCCCTTTGTTAAAGCAAGATCTGGTTTCTGTAAAGCCTCTGGAACCACATGACAATTACTTTGGTCGCAGGCAGAATTCTTCGACAGATGTTGCTTATTGGTAAAGTGGCAGACATTTATAGAGACGAAATTAAAGGGGTCGACGGAGGTTTGAAGCTTTTGTCAAGTGAGACAGCAAACAACAGCAAAAATCACTTATACATGGCGCTCTTGTTCGAATACCAAGTGATGCGGCTTCACCGGTTGTGAATCAAATAAGATGTTTGCAGTTTGCTCAGTCACGGCTCTCCCCAGAAAGAAAAAAAAAATACGGAAAATTACGTTTGGCTTTTGTTTTTCACGAATGGCTGCTGTTGCAAATGTTAACGACGGCTAGAAATAACCACGGGTCATTGCGGGGGGCACTGTAAACTCGTATTTGTAAACGTACGCCCTCATATAATAAATGGTATTATTGTAAAAAACAATAACATAAATTGGAGCGTGTGATTTTTGTACATCCTCTGACTAGATTAAACTTTGCACATTTACATTGCATAAAATGTTTCAAGTTCTATGTTTTTGTTGAACCTGTGAAATGAAGGATTTCATACAAAACCAAAAGGGCCGCTTAATGCAAAAATCGGTGCATGAGCGGTACATTTCGATGTTTAAAACGGCACAGACGCAAGATGGGCATAATGCGCAGAAGACTGCCACTATGGCTATTTTTAAAATTTAAACCAAAGTACATTATAAATATTCTACACCATCTACGACGGCTTCATTCAAGCTGTATTTTAATAATTAATGTGCATCGGGGGTAGAAGTGAGATCTTGGCTTGGTTTAAGTGATGGAAATGCATGTGCGCATGCAAGGCAATGGATGAGCTTTAGCCTTCCTGCATGCACACGGTACATCTGTGCAGTGCTCACATTTGCTGAGAATCTTCGCTTTCGTAAAACATACTTTCCATTATTATGTATTTTATATCTCACCGCGTGTATGTTTCTTACCATAGCTTATTTTTCCCCTCTAATACAGATAATCCTGTAATTCTGTAAGGCTGCGTGGATACGATGCTGAGATGCGGACAAAGGTGCTTGGGGAAATGGCACACAAAGGGAAATAATAATAAAAAAACATCGGAGCAGTTGGGGGGGTTACTTGTGTCCAAATCCCAACTATTTCTGGGATGAAGTATGTTTTTGATTGTGCTCGCTGAATGATTGCACACTGACATCATAAAACTGAGCACGGGCTAACCGACACAAACCATTTTTAAATTACATGTTGCTGTACTTGGGGAGGAGAAAAAAATTGAGCTTTTCCTCTTGTTGGGAGGGCTGAGTTATTGGCCTAGTCGATTTAAACATTGCGCGGCGCTGACGCATGATTCGACCGATGATGATGATGATGATAACGTCGCTCCCATGATTGTTGGCAACAACTCCTTGGGGTTCTCGATTGTCACGTGGCTATGTTTTCCATGCCCGGTTAATTCGAGCGAACCAACGATTCCATTTTCCGGCAGTGTGTAATTTTTGTAAGGAGGGTAAACCATTCGAAATGCTGCATCGGGCTCTTGAGATGTCATCGCGGGAATCGAACTGATATTGGCGGTGTCCCTCGCTGCCAGCTGGCCAATGAGCTGTTTGCTGCCTCTGATCAAACACTCCAAAACGGCCGCGGAAATCAGAGTTTGTTAACCGTCCCCTGTGGCTGAGGCTGGCGTTCGCCATCCAGAATTTAAAAAATGCTCTGGGTGTCTCAAGCCATCTTTGGCCAAATAAATGAACACCGTTTTTTTTTCAACTCGTTCAAATTTGAGCCCTGAGATTACAAATTGCGTACGGTTCAACAAGTCGAGAGGGGCGGCTTTGGAGACCGTCGGTGTTTTGTGCAGATGATTGTTAAGTTTATTGATGGTTAGTGTTTAAAGAGACCTCGACGTGGGTGGCTGCAGAGGACGTGGGGTAAAGCTACGGCGATTGTAACGACGGCCCAACTATTGCGAGATTTTGAGAGATGTGTGCATGTTTACAATTGCACGTATGGTTTTTTTTGACGTTTTATGTTGGAGACCACAGCATACTATTTGCCCCGACTATTTTTATTTAACCAGGCAAGGCCCACTGAGCTATATGGACGGAAATGTATCGAGGCCGCAGGGTGGCACAATGGTAACACTTGCGTCTCACAGCAAGGAGGATCTGGGTTTGATTCCTGACTCCCGTGCAATTATCTAAGTGGTTTGTATATTCTCCCTCTTCTCTGCATCGTTTTCCTCTGGCTTCTCTGGTTTCATTACGTAGCTGAAATCACTCAATGCCATTGATGTCAGCCAAGTATCCTAAGGCAGGACTCTCCTGAAAAAGAGTATTTGGACTCGGTGTGGTTTTCTTAAATATGTAGTAAAGGTGACTTACTATTGTAAGACTTCGGGAAATACGCAAAGGTATAAATGTGGGTTGTTCAATAGTCATGTTCATATTTAACTGAAATGTTAATATAGTATGACCACACAGGAAAATAATAATAATACATCTCTTTGATGTATTACGATACATTTTTTTGTCAAATCAAACTTTTAGTTAATTGTCCCTTTAATTTTACAAATAAAACGACATCTTGCTAAAACGCTACTCTTGAGGTTGTGTTTTTTTTAGAGCTGACTGCATATAATTTAGGACATGATTAAGTTCCGTTGAAAAATGACAAGCTGAAAATTGTGCTAATTGCACGTAATCAGTATGCGTGCATGGGAGGAGGGGGGGGGGTATACGAACGGTAGTCTGGAGGCACCAGAATTTGTTTTTCGAAGTCTGTGGGGAGCAAGGCCCATGGCGTTGACATCTGAGTTATCAGAATTGTGTCGGTGGAGAGGAGAGGCGATAATAATAATAATATGGCAAAGGTGGAGCCCTGCATTGCATTGCCCCTTGCCACTGCTGGTGGGGGAAATAGGCCTCGACTCTAGAGGGTGGCTTGACTTTTCCACGCTGATCAATCATCTCGGAGGAGGTGGGAGTACCCACACTTTTTGCACCACCACCGCGGGGTACCAACCTCTGAGTGGATATCCGTGACCCTACTGGACATCTGTGATCCAGGTGCTCGATAAGCTCATCGGATTCCTCCAGTATAAATAAATATTGTGATTCTGAAAAATATTCTGATATGGTAGATACACTGCTTCGCAGTGGATGTTAAGGATCGCGTGCTGTTGATTCGTTATAGATTTTTTTAACACGGATATTTACGCGATTTAACCCAAAAAAAACCTATTGCGGACACACATTTTAATAACGCGATCAGACACACAAAATAAATTATTAATCATAATATCGGTCGCGAAAAGCCTGACCGTGTTAAATAATTTACGCTTTGATGTCATTCGAAAAAGGGAGCACAGTCGGTCACGTGTGCCGGTGACACCGGTACAATTTTCCAGACTCGGAAATTTACACCGCAAATTACCCAGTTGGGTAAAAATCACATGGCACAATCGCCCCCTCACGTGAAATTGCCCAAGACTTTCCTCTACCCATCCGTGCAAACGCAGCGCCTTCGTGGTAGCGTTGACAGCCTCTAAGAAGGACGGGAATACCTAATGCAGGAGGCCCTTTTGCAGCGAGGTGAAACGTGAGCGCCGTCTCTCTCTGGTTCGTGCAACGATTCTTCTATCACCTGCGCGTCTATTAGGACGACGACGATGACGACAACGGATGCCTAATGTTCTCGTGATTTAATTTGATTCGGTTCCTCCATCGTTGGCAATCCGAGCCGTGAGCCAGTGCGAGCCTGTTTAGGTCGTCGGCTCCGATGAGAACCGGCTGAGAGGCGGGAGTGGCAGCTGGGGCTTCGGTTCATGATCATTGTACGATGGCGGAAATTGTACGGGTCTAACAAATCACTAAGGTACACATTGGTTTTCTATGCACGAGAGTCTCCTCAGGATTTTTATTCCTAGGATTTATTCAAGGACCGTTTGATAGACAGTATTGTTTAATGCGGTTTAAACACGTAGGGTTTCACGAACAATATTATTCATAATAAAGGTTTTTGGGTTTAATCGCGTTATTTATAAATGTGTCGTAACGCTCCACCACACGACACGGCCAATCAGCAAAAAAGTGTCACATTGACAAAAGACAAAATGGTTCCCTACCTTAGCCCAGCGGTGTGTTGAAGAGTGAATCCACAACATTTACAGTTGTTGAGTACGACGTTTCGCTGGTAATTACATCCAGCATCATCGAGCAATTAAAACCCAAAAACCTTTGTTATGTGGTTTGAACATTTCGGTGTGGGGCAGTTATTGCAGTGGTTAGCACGCTGCTCTATGAACCTGGTAACTCGAATTGGATTCTTGGCCACAGCCACTTTCAGAACTGGTCCTGCCCCTCGTCACCAACCTGCACTTGACCAGCGTGGTGAAGCATAGTCAAACAATTAAATCTTGACTTAAAGCTTTCGCGACTGCGGGAATTCATATTCTTGGGTCTTTCGGTAAAGTCACGCAGATATAGGTTTTTGTTATTTTCTTTGAACCTATCTACGTGACTTTACCGAAAAACCCCAGAATATGAGTCAAACAATTCCCGTGACCAACGTGGTGTGGGGAGGCCTTCATCCATGAGTGGCTTCATTTTTTTATTTTATTTTTTCTAATGTAGCTTACAGATATCTATTTGATATTAAATACATGGAACAACACATCTAGAACCTCGTGCAATATGTTCAAAATCTCAACGTCGCTCACATTTGCGAGGTAACTGACTAAACACATTTTACAGGTTATACAACTGGGTCCTTCACCAGCCAAAGCTGAGGTCCGTGTTGACCACTATGCAAGCGTGTGGCCAATGGGCCACAGTACAATAATTAGGGAATGGAAGATGAGTGAGCTGACGCTTACACTCGAGAAATGCAAACTACTAAACATAAATTCCCAGCGCACCAATGACTCACAAGCTACTGTACGCAGCAGCAGCAGCAGCAGTTGGCGGTAGTGCTAAGTGCACGTCGGATGGACGTGCGACAAAACAAAACAAGGCGGCTCTAGGGGTTTGATGGATGGGCAGAGGGGCGAGCGAGTGGATAGGCGGACGTACGGACGCGGGTGGGAAGATACAGAGACGGACAACAGCATGGGAGGGTGACTGAGCGGATGAGCTAATGGACATGCGCTCGCATGGACTGATGAGCGGGCACACTGAGATGTCACGGGGTACAGCGGGTGGGCACATCCAGCAAGTCCCTACCTTGTTTGTGATGCGAGGCCTCGAGGGAAGAGGCACTTGGCCACACTCTCTCGTACTTTGGAACGGCTGGGAGCGTTCAGGAGATACACGTTAGCTTCTTATTTGTTGCGCATCTCGCCGTGTGTGTGTGTGTGCCGCACGTGTGTGTAATGTGTGCAACGGTGCGAGCTATATGTATGTATATATCTGAATATACTACCAGCATTGCTCAAAGTAATTCCAATGTTACGTAACTATGGCGAATGTTATAGTCGTTTCAGGGCTCTAAAATTAAAACAAATAAAGGCGCAGAAACTTTTTAGTTTTTTTTGCCTGTGCGGTCATGTAACATATATTTGCCAAACCGTTATGATTTAGGCGGTAAGGTGCAGATTTTTTAAAAAATAATTTCACTACATAAGGATTTTCAAACCTCATCATGCAGCTTTTTTTTTAATAAAAGGGAAGATTGATATGCGGTAAAAAGGGATTTAAAAATCATCAGCCTACCACTTAAATCGGTAGGTTTGGCAAGTAAAATGATGTAGACAGAAGAGCGATACATGTAATAGATGTTATCGATAATTTCCCACTAAAACAAGTGGGGTAAGTGATCAGGGAGGAGTCAGTGGTATTCATCATTTGGGTCAGATTCAGATGTTGATAAATGGCAATTAAAAACAAAATTTGGCAAAACATTTGTCTGCCTCAGTGGTTGTCTTGTGGGGCCTCTGCTTCACAAACCTGCATTGACCAGTGTGGTGAAGTATGGTCAAACAACCCCCCCCCCCCACCACCGACACGGTGTGGGGCGGAGTCCTTCATTCAGCAGTGGATTGACAAGGGGCTGTACGTTGTTGTTGTAGTTTTATTCTATTATAGAACAACGTTGTGTCAATAATTCGAGCACTTTTCCCCAACTAGAATTGGGGGGGGTGGGGGGGGCGGTGCAAACGACGCCACTCTGGAGCAGCGCTGGCCTGACGGGGAGACCAGCGCCGGTCGGTCAATAGTCACCGGTCGGTCAATAGTCACCGGCCGGGCCGGCCGGCGCCTTTGCGCTCCAATTTGGTGACGGGCACCACATGCTCGCCGCTGCCTCCGCCCAACTGGAGCCAATGGCCACTGCCTCCGTTTCCACTCTGACCGCCGCTGACCCGCAAGTTCAATCGAGTGAAAGCGATGTGCGTCGTCGGAAATATCTGGGGGAGGGGGGTGGGGTGCGGTCTGAGATTGGCCCACGATGTGCGGTGTTCATTGATCATCCCAAAAAAGAAAATGAAGCAGCTTAAATGTATTGTCTGTCTGCAGTGCGCAGGTTAAGATAAAATCACTAGCTTGCTCGAATGAAAAAAAAATTAAACCTGTGCTGGTATTCGCCAGCCCTTTCGTGAAACCATTCTGGACAATGAATCGTGTTCACCAGCGCACGTATCCCTGCTTTACATGCCAGATTAAGACTCAGTGGCTCGTAAAATTACAAAGTAATGTGACGCTCACTTTAAACTATTACGGGTTATTTAAAACAATGTTGCTGTTATTGTAAAGGCACATTATTTCCCCTCTAATTAGCAAAGGTCAATGTTTGTCAATTTGCATGGTAATGAGGTTCTGTAAATGTAATAATACACTGAATGAATGGATGGATTATGGGTAGTCAACACCTACATTTCATAATTTACGTACTCTCAATGAATGTGGAATGTGTATTAATTTTAGATATCAAATCAACTTATGCTCACGTTGATACATTATTTAGTTTTTGTTAATCATGAACAACCTACATCGTTCATATTTTGGCTACATATTCAGTTGTTTCTCGTGTTTGCATAAACAGTGCTTTACAAATATTGGTGCGAGTGGGGTACATTCACAGAATGTGTTTGTTATCGTGTCGCATTTGTAAACGATCTGTTTTCGTACTTGGCAATTTATATTTTATTTAGCAAACTCCTAGCGATGTTGAAAAAGCATGACAGTATAGATACAACGTCTGGTTTTCCTTTCCCATTTTTCAAAATGCAAGTGACCTCACCTCCAAAGTTGCCACCAAGCCCATCTGTGGACAGAGACAGGTTATTTCAGTTTGGATTTCATATCCAAGTCACATGGTATGGGTTTAATGGCTCGTAACATTCCACAACTTGTGCATCGCATACAGTGAGGGAAAAAAGTATTTGATCCCCTGCTGAATTTGTATGTTTGCCCACTGACAAATAAATGATCAGTCTATAATTTTAATGGTAGGTTTATTTGAACAGTGAGAGACAGAATAACAACAAAAAAATCCAGAAAAACGCATGTCAAAAATGTTATAAATTGATTTGCATTTTAGTGAGGGAAATAAGTATTTGACCCCTCTGCAAAACATGACTGAGTACTTGGTGGCAAAACCCTTGTTGGCAATCACAGATGTCAGACGTTTCTTGTAGTTGGCCACCAGGTTTGCACACATCTCAGGAAGGATTTTGTCCCACTCCTCTTTGCAGATCTTCTCCAAGTCATTAAGGTTTCGAGGCTGACGTTTGGCAACTCGAACCTTCAGCTCCCTCCACAGATTTTCTATGGGATTACGGTCTGGAGACTGGCTAGGCCACTCCAGGACATTAATGTGCTTCTTCTTGAGCCACTCCTTTGTTGCCTTGGCCGTGTGTTTTGGGTCATTGTCATGCTGGAATACCCATCCACGACCCATTTTCAATGCCTTGGCTGAGGGAAGGAGGTTCTCACCCAAGATTTGACGGTACATGGCTCCGTCCATCGTCCCTTTGATGCGGTGAAGTTGTCCTGCACCCTTAGCAGAAAAACACCCCCAAAGCATAATGTTTCCACCTTCATGTTTGACGGTGGGGATGGTGTTCTTGGGGTCATAGGCAGCATTCCTCCTGCAAACACGGTGAGTTGAGTTGATGCCAAAGAGTTCCATTTTGGTCTCATATGACCACAACACTTTCACCCAGTTGTCCTCTGAATCATTCAGATGTTCATTGGGAAACTTCAGACGGGCACGTATATGTGCTTTCTTGAGCAGGGGAACCTTGTGGGCGCTGCAGGATTTCAGTCCTTCACTGCATAGTGTGTTACCAATTGTTTTCTTGGTGACTATGGTCCCAGCTGTGTTGAGATCATTGACAAGATCCTCCCGTGTAGTTCTGGGCTGATTCCTCACCGTTCTCATGATCATTGCAACTCCACGAGGTGAGATCTTGCATGGAGCCCCAGGCCGAGTAAGATTGACAGTTCTTTTGTGTTTCTTCCATTTGCGAATAATCACACCAACTGTTGTCACCTTCTCACCAAGCTGCTTGTACTTGGTGGCAAAACCCTTGTAGCCCATTCCAGCCTTGTGTAGGTCTACAATCTTGTCCCTGATATCCTTGGAGAGCTTTTTAGTCTTGGCCATGGTGGAGAGTTTGGAATCTGATTGATTGATTGCTTCTGTGGACAGGTGTCTTTTATACAGGTAACAAGCTGAGATTAGGAGCACTCCCTTTAAGAGTGTGCTCCTAATCTCAGCTCGTTACCTGTATAAAAGACACCTGGGAGCCAGAAATCTTTCTGATTGAGAGGGGGTCAAACACTTATTTCCTTCATTAAAATGCAAATCAATTTATAACATTTTTGACATGCGTTTTTCTGGATTTTTGTTGTTGTTATTCTGTCTCTCACTGTTAAAATAAACCTACCATTAAAATTATAGACTGATCATGTCTTTGTCAGTGGGCAAACGTACAAAATCAGCAGGGGATCAAATACTTTTTCCCTCACTGTATCAACAAAACCACCATGCATGGCCCTTGTCGCAACCCACTGCTGGACGAGGGCTCCCCTACGCCACACGGGTCGCAAAGGTCACATGCAAAGGTCATATACAAAGGTCATATACTTTTCCACATTGAGCATTACGGGTTGGTCAAGGTAGCAATCATAGGTGCGAGAGCATAGAAGTACAGTACAACCACATACATTTACGTGTAATATTCTTGGCTGCCCGCTGCTGCCCAATATGTGGTCCTGTAGGTGCCGAGGACAACCTGGCGGACATGGTGGTCACCCATCCAAGCACTTTCTCCGGGCTAAACTCTGCTTAGCTTCAAGCTCTTGAGATCAGTTAATTTGATCGTAGGAGGAACAAAAGAACATATGGCCAAAATAGGACTTCGGATACTTACACTAGGCCCGGTTTTCATAGGCGAGCATCAACACATTCCTCCTGTCAGACAGACTCATGACAGCTGATTGAAAGTTTACCTTTTTTCAAGTGCCTATTTGGAACACCTCGCACACAAGAGGTGTCAAAACCCAACAGCAGGCGTGTGTCACGATTCATTGATTTACATCGACTCTTCTTACCCTCCTCAGATGCATGCATTGAATTATGCAAATGATAATCGGTTATTTGTTATTCATGAAAATGATCATCCCAACATTCCCTCGGGCTAACGGAGTGATAACGATTACATATTGTTATGTTATCTAGCTCAAACTCACATGCCCTTTGGATTGCACCCGTTGGGTTGCACTCTCTCGTCGAGGAGGCCGCTTTCCTATCTTACAGTTACATGCTAATTTCTCACATTAACATCACTAGCCCCGGCCACTTCTTTATGACACTTCGGCTACACCCATTTCAAACCTTTTAAAAAACAATCTGCCTCAGCAGCAGACCATGCTTTCCCACCTGATGACGGACGCTTGTGTTGCGCCTGAAACGTCGTCATTTAATTTATTTTATACCTACGTGACTTTACCGAAAGAACCAAAGAGTATGGATTCCTGCAGTCACGAAAGCTTCAAATCAAGATTATCTAGCTTGTTATGTTTATTTGTATGTGCATTTGAGTTGATATTTAGTACACACTTCAGCTGCGTTAGACTCTCAGCCTTTTCCCACTTGGTTAGCTTTTAATGAAGTGACATCACTGTTGGGACAAAACTACCCAACTGGTATTTTTTTTGTATTCATTATAACTTCTAAACTATTTCTGTTCAACGATCCTTGCAAATTATAATTGTCCGTTTCATCTGCGCTGCAACAAAAATTAATAAAAAATACTTTATGTGTCGTATGCAGAACAAAATATACCAGCAGATGGCACTCAAGGGATTCTAGAAACAAATTGCGACTCCAGATGAGGAATGGCACGTTCGCCATACGGATGACAATTGTCAGCAGTACAATTATGAATATGTAAAATATGAATAATAAAATATTATTAAAGCCAACAGCGATGCGTTGAGTGGTGTCATGCTGTGCTCAAGTGTCAATAATGCTTCAATTATTTAATGAATGCAAGGCCCCATTATTATGGAGAAGGCAACCTAGCATATGGTTAGCACGTTTGGCTATGTACGGTGCTAAAAAAGTTCAACGCCACATACATCAAACACTTTCCACCGGACCCCCCCCCCCCCCACCCCCACCAATGTTATCAGGTCAGCCAATCTGTGAACATGGTTACGATATTTTAAATTCATAAACATCCAATTACCAGGTCGGTATTCACTCTGCGTCGCAGTCACTTGCAGCGTTATTAAATGATCACGGTCTGCATCTTTATTCAGATGGGTTAATTCTCTCCCTCTCTCGTCATTACAATCAGTGTGGCTTTGATCTCGGGGTGGGAGGTTGAGGCTCGTGGGTAGCTCGGCTGAGTGAGATCACGAAAATATTTACCCCTGGGGGGGGGGGGTGCTGGGGGTTGTGGTGGTGGGGGGGAGATAAAAATATTCCACGAGAAATTAAGCCCTGGTCATTCTTGATCATTTTTATCCACTAACAGTCACCATTGACTCAAATAAATTGACATTTGTTTGACGGATATGTTTAACACTGCGGGGGGTAGTGGCAGTGAGGCAGCGCAGTGGTAAACACTCACGCCTCGCAGCAATAAACGCCTGGGTTCGATTGCCAAGTTTGGATGTGCTTCCCCCTGTCCTGCATGGATATCCTCTGGGTTCTCCCAAAGCTAGAATTAGAAAAAATGTAAACTGGTAGCGGTCAAACATCCCAATGCTGGAAAATTACCTGCAAAAATGACTCAATCGGGGAGTCCACATGAAGCCAAACAGTTGGCGGGACCCTCCTGAAAAGAAGAGTCTTGACCTATTTCTTGGGTGAACGAGCACAAGAACAACAAACAACAACAGCGACGACTCACTTTGGTTACCGGTGTTGGCTGTGCACTCGTTGGGCATGCCCTTTGGGTACGGGAGGTAGGTGCCCGCCTTCCACAGGCGCCCGCGGAATCCCCGCTTGCACTTGCCGCAGTCGGAGCCCGTCGTGTTGTGCTCACACTCGCAGAGCAGCTGCCCCTTCTCAAATTTGCACTCCTTGGCGTGCAAGTTGCACGTGCACCTTTGAGCGGCGGGCGAGGGCGGAAGGTTGGGAGAGGACCGCAGGAACGCGCACACACGCGCACACACAAGAGACAAAGGTAAAAAGAGCAAAGGTTAGGCTCACAGAGTGTCAGGGCAAGTGCTGTAAAGCTCGCCGACGTGTTGTTGGGTTGCATCCTGCGCGTTATCCGGCGGGAGGTCTCACGCTTCTCTCCACATGCTGGGAGCTTCGAGAGGAACTGAATTTAGGGGGCCGTAGTTCCTCACTCGGTGAAGTAGCGCTGGTGGCTGCTGCTGCTGCTGCTGCTGCCGCCGCCGCTTCCTCTACTCGGGAGAAAAGGGCTGAACCCTCCGTAGTTCCTGAAAAAGCTCCCAGCACGCGGAGACAAAAGCGTCTTGACGTTGTGCCGACGCCACAACACGCGGTGACAACCCGCAGACGCATCGGAGCGGCAATTGCCGTTCGTGTGGGCAGCATCACTCCAGGCCACTTGTGTCTCACCACTGCCGATATTCACACGCTCGAAACTCGCTTCTCACTCGCACGCAAAACAAAATAGTGCCTTCAGCATCGTGCCTCGCAAGACAAAGTGCCAATTAAGGCCAGCACCACAGCCAGACGCTCTACGTCTCCACAGTACTGGTACCCATTGACTGCATCAAGTACTCACTTAAGGCCGAGTCAACCTAGGGGGAGACCGACAACTCCGATTAGCAAGGTTGGCTACGTAGGGTGCGAAAGAAGTTCAACGTACATACATACAGGTTAAGATATCACTTGGCACTCATGCTATACATCGCGTGGAATCAAAGACTCTGAGAAGGGCTTTAATGCAGTGTGAGAGTAAACGCAAGACTCCTGAGCCTTTCAAGTAGTTTCCGTGCTGTTGGCAAGCATTCATTGAGGCCACTACGGTGGACAAAGGGAAATGTGTGTGGCCAGCACGTACTGTGTGTATGCGTGTATGAATGTTGAACTTCTTTTTTGCACCGTACGTGGCCAACCGTGAAAATCGGACGTGCACATCCGTTGCTCGCCTCCAATTCCGATGATTGGCACAGTGCACCAGGTACTCACTTTAAGGCGGAGTTGAAAGGCGGAGGGCCAGTACGAGCCCAGGTGCCGCTTGTCACGAAAATGTTATTTGTCGCTGAGAAGTGAACAGCGGATTTTTAGCGCAATGCACGAATCACTGTGCCACTGTCTTTGACACTTACAACAACAATGAACCGTCATTTGCCAATAAGTGGTGGCGACGTTGCTATCGGGGTAGAGGTGAACCGAGAGGCCAAGATGTGTCAAATGCTCGCTGCGTGGGAGGTCAGCGGCACAGACCCCAGGCGTTACGGGAATTAACCGAGATTACTGGCGGATGCTTGGACGCACGCGCGCGTGGCACGGTCAAACAAGCGTCCGTCGCGCGTGCGGGGTCAACGACACGCGGGGGGTCAACGACACGCGCGGGGTCAACGACACGCGCGGCTCTGGAAGTTCCGGGCACCATTGCGCCGTCAGCGAATGAAGGTCGCGGCCACTCGTGCATAGACGAGGATTGTCTCCAATTTCGGATGCAACCACCCCCACCCCCACCCCCCACCGAACGTCCCCTCGGCACTCGCAACAAACCGCGGCGTCTGCGCTCGGCGCCGGGAATTCACGTGCCGGCCACTTCGATTGGCGTGTGCACGATTCCGTCGGGGAGCCGCGTGCACGTGCGGACAACGCGCACCTGGGTATATTGCTGGCGGCATGACCACCACCGTCATCCGTGCATGTGTGCCGGCGCTCCCGTCGCTACGACCCAGCGTGCCCTTGCCTATTGCCTCGTGACGCTCCTTCGTGTGCCTCCCTCGAAACTGCGGCGGGGATAAATTGCAGCCACGCTCGGGAGGTGGGGGTGGTGGGAGAGCCGCACACTCGGGTATCTTTTTGAGCACCAGGAGGCTCCTCAATGGCCTCACGCAGCTCGTGAAAATGTCGCCGTACGCCAGAATGGAGCGGCCTATTTTATGCATCGCAGCATGAGTCGCCACCGGCCGCGGTAAAGCAACCGCCGGGTGAAGCCTCCTCAAGCCGAGCGTACGGTGTAACAATCCGCGTCGCACCTGCACACGAGGTCATTTAGAAAATGGTAGCCTCATAGTGCCTGTTCGATTTGTTTTGTGTTTTCTAAAAATGCACTTGAAACGGGAAGAGCTGTGCTTTTCACCCAAGAGGAAAAGCTAAAGGCGCAGCCCTGCAATTGCTTGCTCGCACCACTGCTGCCAGAAGAGGGATTTCACTAGAGGGATCTCTAGAAAGTCCCTCTGGAAGGTATTTGGCCTATTCTTCAGCGTCAGCGAGAAATCTTTGATGTGCGGGAGTAAGCATACTTGGGACAGATTTAAATTTAGTTTTTCCCCCATTCTTTTAACCGCCACGCCAGGAGAATTATCCAAACCCACAACCTCTGCATTGCAAGTCCAGTGCGCTAACCGTTGCACCGCAGCAGCAACCTTCCTAAGACAACGGTGTCTGATGGTAAAGAATATCTGCCAAGTTTTGGCCGAGCTCGAGAATGTCCGATCCCTGTGTCCACGGTGCTGTTGCCAAATGTGTATGAGATGGCATAGAGCCACTCCGGTGTGACCGCCCAACACAGCAGACTCACACGCTATCGTTTTTTTAAATCTTCAGGATAAATAAAGATCGCCGATTCTGTGATTCGAATTCATGCAAATGTAAACGCAGCCCGCAATGGCGAAACATCGCATTGGTCAGGAGTGAACTTCGCTCTCTCTCTCTCTCTCTTTCAACGCGACGATATGAATCGATTGATAAGCGCTGAAGCGCTCGCGTTTTTTACTGCTTCTAAATATTATTTCGGTGAGCCGAGTCATTGGGCCATTTAGGAAGCGAAGAAAACGGCTATTTTTCAAAGCCTGTCATTTGAAGGGCTGTTCAAAGAATCGTCTTAAATAGGGCAGTTTTATCAGTAGTAGTATTATTATTATCATCATCATCATCATCGAGCGCGTAACGAGTGCTAAAACACTGTAATGCTCTTTCATTCATTCGTGTGATGCTCACGGAAGTGGGCGCAGTTGCGCTGATTATCCGTGTGAATGATTGCGGCGTAGAGGGCACGTGGGAATTGAGCTTCTGCTCCTTGGGATGTGTGTAGTGAAACGATACAAATGTAGATTATTATTCATTGATAGAGCCCACAAGGAGCTTCGGCTCACATGGAGACTGTGAAAGGGCTGAGGAAGAAATACATAATGCCATATTCTACGGATTATATGACGGCGATGGGTAGAGGAAGATGCACCTTCGAACTTGTGCTCGGTGTGAATAACATTACACAAATCTCTCCTCTCTCACGCACAGCTACCAGATTATAAGATGCTCCCTCAACTTTAGCTTTAAAATACGTGGGGAAAATGCGCATCATAATCTGGAGAATATGGTAATAACTATCCCCTTAAATTTTGATTTAAAGCTTTCGTGACTGCAGTAATTCATATTCTTAGCTCTTTCGGTAAAGTCACGTTGTTTTATATATATTATTATTTTATTGTTTCCCTTCAACGTGACTTTACCGAAAGAGCTAATAATATAACTATCCCCTTACCCCAACAGGTGAAGCGAAACGAACAGAACAGTGTTCGTATCAACATTTTCCCATTTTTTGTATTCTATATTTTCATTTTATTGTGGGTTTGAAGCCATAAAAAATCTCGTTATGTTTGACTGTTATGTGCACATGCATTTCCTCGGTTTTTTTCCTGATTGTCTTCGGGAGATCAAGCGTTGTCGCCTATTTCTGCGTTAAATGGTTGTGTCTGGAGGCCCATTACGCTTCCCGAACGCCGCCACGTGTTCATATAAATAGTTTAAATCTCACGCGCTGCTGCTTTGATCTCAACAAGTGTCGTAAAATCCATCACCGACACGATGGCAATACGTGTTATCTTAAAAAAAATATCCGGAAAATAATTTGACGCTGTGTTCAAGAATGCTTCTATACTCATACACCGAGTGGTGTGGATTTAATTTAAACAAGGTGCTCTGAATATGTTTTGTTGTTGCTTGGTTATAAGTGTTTAATTAAGGCAAATGTAGAAATGTTTAACTCTAATCACTGTAATTATTTGCAGTGTTAACACGAGTAATGTCAACATATTAACTTGCATTCAATACCCTAACCCACGTGTTTTTTTTTCCTCTCGGCATACACTGCTGCTTGTTGTTTGCAATTTAAAGCATGCACATTCATTTCGTGGTGGAGCATTTGTGTACAGTGGTAGCGTGCTGCACTATGAACCCTGCGACCCGAGTTCAACTCGAGGCCATGGCTAAAATCAGCAGCAAGTGATATCAGAACAGCTCTTGCTCTCATCCCAACTTCACAGACCCGTACTGACCAGCAAGGTGAAGTATGCAACAACAAAAAACTCCGAATTACAGAGTGTGGGGCGGCCTTTGTCCATTGGTAGATTGAGAATGGATGGATTTTTATTTTAATATTCCATTCAAACTATACATATTTTTTTTTAAATTAACATTAAGAAATCGGTCACTTGTAGAGTTTTGGCAGATCGAATATGAACTTGAATACTCATGCGCATTTTAGGAAATCATGACAATCGCAAACGGATGTGACATACAAACATTGAGCATACAAGAGTTTGTCAGTCACATTAAACTTCTCTGCTGTGATAATAATAATAAACATTTAAAGAACCTTGTCAATCCACTGTATTATTACCTAAATGGCCTCATATTTGCAGCTCTTCAGACGCGTGCATACGCTCTGCTTTATTTCTGTAGCGTAAAGCACACGGGCATTCCGGCGTTGGCTAATAAAACTACTCGTAATGTAGAGAGCCCAATATTAGGCCGTGAAGTCTGGATCAGTGCTGAGTATGATTAATAATCCTCCGGCCCGCAATCTGTGTATTCGCGTGAAATAAAGGGAAGGCGTAGAAGAAACTTGACCAAATGAGCAAAAGCGAAAAAAAGGGCAAAATTGCATT